CAACCCATTTGATATCTCGCAACCATATTCTTCATTCCGCAGTCTGATTTCTGAACAAACAAACCCCGGATATTTGATCCGGCTGCCAGCTGCAAAGTGTTTACCTTCAGGTCTGAAGCTCTTAGGAAGAAACTACAAATTGTTCCGATTTAATTTAAACTGGCCGGGGAAAAGCTTCCTAGAAACACAAATCACTCTATTTAACTTTAAATTTATTTGAAAAATTGCCACTTACAATTTCCGGAGCCAAATCTGTCTCTCAAAACCCTTGTTTAAATTGAAACAGCTGGATCGAGTTTATTGCAGTCAAAACCTTGAGGTAAGGTTTTAACATGTTATTTTTAAGCCCCACATGAAAACGAACGATACAGAGATTTGGCACCGACAATTCTGCTCTTATTAAGTTTACATATCACTGTATTCCGTCGGTTTATTCAATTATCTCTCAATTCTGGCGACCAAAATATATACATTATTGGATACTTCCTAGAATAATTTCTCGCTGGGATATTTAATGACGGAAAAAGAGTGGTGAGTGCCAAAGGCAGTTAAATGAATGCGGCAAGAATTGAAAATTGATTAAAGATCATCTAGTGGCAATTTTGAAAGGAAACCAGAGAATTCCTGAACCAAATTTCATCTTACAGTTTTCTTGCCCTTTTGTTTAATCCAGTTTCTCATGATCGTCCTTTGGAAGCATACTCACGCTCTTTCGCTAAATTTTTGTTCCCGCTGTCGCACAAAGTCACCAAAAGTTTGTGCTCTGTGTCTTTTTTCTCCAAATAAATTTTTATTAATTATTTTGGAATCATTTTTTAATAAAACAAGACTGATCGTATCAGGGCGAAGCCCTGAATGTTCCGACTGTCCATTAAGGTTTATGGAGCAGTAATATCATTAAAAAATAAAAGTAATAAAACAAAACGAAATTTTTTTTTTAAAAATCATCCCCCCACACGCCATATAAAGTACAAAAGGATAGATTTCGCTACTTGTAACAAATCAATTATGGCAGAAAAGCTTCGTTAAACCAATTTGGAACGATTTGTAAGACGGATTAACTCTCCGCTTACGCGTTAATGGAGCGAAATATATCGCGCGTTAATTGTCCCAAATTGGCCAAAATGGCAATCTTTAAACCCCCATAACTTTACGAAAAATGATCACAGGTAAAATATCTTTTCAAATTTGAGCTCAAGACAACAATACCTTTTGAATGATATAAAAAAATTCCGTCAAAAATGGCTGGTTAAAAAGTCGAAATTTGTCTGAAGAAAAAAAGAACCCACCCCGAGCACAAATATTCCGTTACTTTCGTATCGAAAGTCGGAACAACAAGGATAGCCGGATACTGTGATAGTAGCACACAATGTTCCGACCCTAGTCTTTAGAAAACTACGGTTTAGAAAGTATTTGTTTAGCAAATTAGAGTAGTTTTTTTCTGCTTGGTGTGATAAGAGGATCTGATGTGAAAATATAATTTAGGCATATTAGACAGTCATAGTAATATCGGCAAATTGGAAAAAAAAATTGTAGCTTAATTACTAGAAAAGTTTTTTTAAGTTTTGAATATTTTGAAGTTTTTGGTTCCCAAACTGAATGTAAAAAAACTCCAAAAACTAGTTTTATTTGCTTTAAATTAAATTAAGTTTTTAGTTGAATTAAATTATTTTAAGTTAAGTTTTAAGGTCTCAAGTTAGGCATAATTCAGTTGTTGTAAGCCTGCTCACTTGCTTTGATTCGCTCGAATTCGAACGAAAAATCAAAAATTTCAAACCGGTTTTTCTCAACACTGGGAACGTTTTATGGAAGTTTTTTAATGTGGTTCGAATCACGACTGAAAGGGCTTTAAAATGATATATCACTCAATTCAGTCCGATAATTTTTTGTGGTACCTGATTTTGCGTGGAAAACAAAAAGAAAAAAAAATAAAACACACCCGAATACAAAATTCCTACCCACTGAAACGGTAATTCATCTTAATTCACTTTTCGTAAGTTTATAGCGGTTTTGAAAATTGTTCAACTGACAATTTTGCGACTACTCTTATGAACTTTAACGGACTCAGAAATAATATCGTCTGCTTCAATACATCTAATTCATTCGAATATTGCGTTACCAGAGTTTGAATTTTGTCCTTTTATGTGTGAATGGTTGCAGTCAAGACACTTATATAGGTCCAGTTGATTATTTTAAATTTGTTTGAGGAAAAAGTCTCAGAATTTGTTCGAGACAAAGTATTTTTTTTTGAGGTTTGACTTTTGACTTCTTTAAGTTCATTTCAATGCAGTTCACTTTTGCATAGATCAAAGTCTATCTATGAATACTGGTAAAGATTTTGTTTGAGAGTTGTTCTTTTTAATCAATCTCAACTTTCCGCAAAAGTTTCGGTTTAAAAGATGTTTTCTTGGGAATGTTAGAGATATTGATTAAATTTCCATGAAACAGAGAACAAAAAAGCATAATTTTTTAGAAAAATACAACCCAGGATCCATTAATGTGTAATAATTTCTAACTCTACTTTGTAATATGATCTAGTGACAATAACAACAATAAATTCTATGATGTTTTTGGATCAGAATTTTTCAAAGAAGTATTATGAGCCCATAAAAGTTACTCCAGGGAGCTTACAACCAAACTAATTTTTCAAATGTCATATCTTCCACAACTTCATGATTCTACTGACAACAATCTACAGGAATTCATTCTTAAGGTCGATAAAAAAGCGCCTCTTGAGATTGTAATAGGATACTGTAAGCTTTTAAACAAAATTTAGGTTCCTTAATTTCAAACTCTACTAGAAACTATCCGAGGTTCTCTAGCTCCCAAGGAATACCGCTCAGTTCAAAATCTCTTCATGATAAAAACGAGCATTTTTGATTTGCATGAGCGCCTCTAATAAAGTGTCCTAATTTCATTTTAAATATTTTTCAAGGCATTTAGCATAGACGTAAGGCGTTCCTTCCGAGAGTGTCAGACCTTGTGTGCGATCCCTGCGATGTCAATGATAGTAAAAACCCTCACTTGATCTCTTTAGGTCAGCCTGACCGATTTCGCCGGCAACAAAGGTATACGCTAAAGTTCTAGACGCTAAATGCATTTTTCTATCAAATGATATTAAAACCGAGTGTCAAATGAAAATCGTGAAAAAACTAATTTTCAAATTTTGGATGATTAAGATCCGTGTGAATGTTTTTACTTGCCGGATATCAAAAACCTGACCCTGTTTTGTAGCAGTTGAATTAAAAGTGGAGCAGCAAATGTCCAGTACTGCGCAAAGTTGTAAATTGCACCAATTTTTTAAGCTATGATTTATAAATTTAGTTCAACCAAAATAGTTTTCTGAAATCATCGGAAAAACTAAAAGGACATTTTTGTAACAAATTTTCTGCACAAAAATCCCTCAACTTTTTTTATTAGCTGCTAAAAAAAATCGGTTTGATAACACAGGACCAAAAGGGGAACCCTTTGGGTGGTTAGAGGGTCAAATCTCTGAGATAAATTACGGGTCGCAACACCCTAAACATGTCCTGATTCAAACTATTTCCAAGCTCGCTTGTCTTCACAAGCAACGTTATCATCAAACTTCGATCTAGCTCCATTTTTTATCATGGTTGAATTAGCTTGCATTCTGAATTAAATGTAATTCGGGCAGATCTAAAAACACTTAATTTGGTGTTTCGATAAAATCTGTCTCATTTAGTTTCATGTTGGTGTAAATCTGCAGCTAACATTTCGAACTTGCTGTTAAAACTTGTGTACTTGTGACTGAACTTCTGTACATTTCCACGAACTTGTTGGAATGAGTTGGAGGGTAACTTAAAAACGTGATCTTTAATCCCTCTTTCGTACCAGCATATTGCAGGCAAATATTCACGAACTTGTCAAGTTAGCAGAGTCTTAACTAAGCAGAGCAACTGTCTCCAATTTGCTCTACCAATTTGCCATGCAATCGGTAACCATTATCTTAAATAATCTTTGAGGATAGACTCAATTTTGACGCAGGAATTAATAAACACAAAATTGATTAAATAAAAACTGAAAAAAGTAATTTAATTCAAAATACTAAAATTATCTTGAGCTCACTCAGCGTCTTTAAAAAAACCAAAAATAAACAACTTTCATTGTTTTTGATTTGTAAACTTAGTGTCAGTCCGGATTGAACTGCAAATAGTAAATTTGGTTTTCTTAATTTCTCAGCTGTCAATGAGGAAAATTAGACGGGTCTGCAAATTGCGCCCCTTTCCCCAAAGCCCCCCAGATTCAATCGCCCCTTAATCCTGTTTCGGTTGTATTTCACCGGTTATGAATTGGTGCTTTTATGAATAAACGATCGACCAGCTGTTCACGGTTGGCATAATTAATGTTTCTCCCAGCTTTGTTCTGACCAGCAAATAAATAACGCAAAACCCTTTTTACTTAAAAAAAATTACATGGCTTAATTATTTAGCGCGATACAAAAACTCTTTGATTCAGCCAATCTGTTTTTCAATGGTTTTTTATATTAATATTTCTCATCTCCTGTTTTTGTGCTTCCTTTTATTTGAATACTCGATCATCCCATAAAGTTTCAAACATTATGCCGATTTCTTTTCCATACACAATATAAAACTAACATTTATGCAAAATGAGCTAGAGCAATCAATTATAAAATATCAGATTTCACAAAAATATGAAGAACGATAGTGACCGCTTACAGAGCGAGTTTCGCATTGTTTTTTACCACTTACTTGCAATTTTTCATATACGGAATACGGAAGTTATTTTACTTAATAACGACATGGGCATGAAAAATAACTGTGAACGAAACAGAATCTTAGAGTTTACATTATATTAGACTTTACTACTCTGATTAACAGAAAAAGAAATCATTTTAAATCAAAATCAAAACCATACCAGATATGGCATTGTAAATTGGAAAGGGTTTTATTAGCACTCACCCTCATATACCATTTCAAAATGTTTTCACGCACACATTCTTGCAATTGAAAACGCTTTAGAATGTCCGAAGCGAGGCTCCATGGATTCCAGTATCATCCATTATTCTTTGCAGACAGACCATGAAAATCCAATATAGTCAATTGTTATCCACGAAACCTCATTGCGAGTGATAGGGCACTCTTAATAAACAATCATTACGGCCCAATTACTCATACTTTTTCCTCCAACCGGCGAAGGTGAGGAGGAATTTAATGTTCGGTTGTTTTCCCCGGACAAAATCAGGCGCCAACACTAAGGTCAGATGGTCTAGTGACATGTTATATTAAAGACCTTTCAGTCGCAATTTGAGATACATTTTGAGACAATTCTGTCCAGAAAATGGATCTCTTCAACTATTTCCCCCTTTTTGCAAAAGCGGAGATTCGTTACCAGGTACCAAAGGGGGGGGGGGGGGGGGGGGGAATAGCTGAAGAGATCCTAAGAAAACTTAGGCGTTGTGACTGGCACTTGGTGATACATGGCATGCCATAATCAATCAACTATCTATCCTCCTTCAGCTATCATTTTTTACATAGGCGGATCTAGGATTTACAGGGGCTGACTTTCAAAAAAATCGAACTTTTTTTTACGTCGACCAAATTGATTTTGCAAGCTCCCCCCTCAAAATGAATTGGCGCCCAAGGCGCCTTTAGAAAATCTTTAAATTCCCTTACCAAAATAGTAATAGATATCTCAAAATAGTTCAAAAGGGGGACCCTGTGGGTCGGCAGGGGGCCGAACCTCTGAGAAGAAGCGTCCGCCCCCCCCCCCCCTAAATCCGCCCCTGATTTTTTATTAGTTTTGTAAGTTATTGTCATATTATTCATTATAATTCTGCTTCAGGTATTCAACTATGTGAAAGCACAGAAACTAGAATGAAATCAACAGTCATTTCGAAACATACTCCGCGACCGTGGTCTGTTACGTAACTCTTACGCAACACCGCAACTCTCTTCAACCGTTGCGTAAACTCTTTTATAAGCTCTAAGCAACGCCCTACAAAAACACTTCAGGAACACCTTCATTATCCATAGCTGTCCACTCTTGTCCAAATTGAAGTAGAACCCCTCCCCTTGACGAGAACTTATCCCCCTCTCCCCTGCTGTGTTCAATTATGATCCACGGCGAAGATGCGCACGACATCAACCTGTTGTACGTGGGACTGGTGGTGTTGGTGTTTGTCCTGTTCATCGCTTGGATCGTGCACAGGGGAATCAAGAAGAGTTGGCGGGAGAAGAGCATCTACTACCGGAAGGACAGCATCAAGGACCAGCTCAAGGCCAACCCAAGCATCACAGTGCCCCCTCTAGCCGAGGTAGGGCAGCTCACAGCTCAAACAAAAACAACCACATCTAATTTATACTTTTATTAACATAAATAGCAGCTCATGACTCTGTGTTCAATCTCTTTTTTTTCGCTCTGGAATTTAACTTTAAGTCTAGCTTTTCCTCTTTAACATAAATTGGACATTGGGCCACTAATCGTTGTTTAATCGTTTTTTAGAGATAATTTTTGTACTACAACTGACATTGAACCAGCATTGAAAAATAAATAATTTCAAACAAGTGCACACTGCACACAATAACCCGACCATACCTTTTCTTCTACAAAGTGTCTCAAAACAAAATAAAACATTATTTTGTCCATAAAAAAAGAAAATTCTACAAATTATTTTGACCAAAACTTTCGATATCGTGACACGCAGAAATTTATGCACATTCTCTATACAAAATAAGACTTTTCAAACTATTTGCATTTCAAACCGCGCCTCAATGGGATTCAATTTTATATCGACATATAAAATTAGCCAAATAATTTTAAATTGCCGTGGTTTTTTCTGGACAAAAGTTCGCGAGAATTAATCAATATTTGAATACAAACAGGACTGCTTGTATATCAGGGCAAAGCCTTGAATGTTCAGACTGTCCCTTCATTGATATCGAATAGTTTTTGGGAAAAGAAAATATTGAAAACCTATACATTTTAGACAATATCAAAGTAAAAAATTTTGAGTTGTACAAAAATAATACGACCAATTAGCTAGCCTCAATTCAATTTGAAATGATTTTGCTGTGCGGGATAATTCGCCACGCATAAATAATTCGCGTTACACTCTCAGCATATTATGATTAAATTCTTGAAAGCGCGCATAGTTTAGTCCGGAACATAGCCGATTTGACAAATTTGAAACCCCCAGAACTTTGCAACAAATAATAGGAGGTAAATTACATTTTTAAATTTGAACTCAGGAAATCGATATATTCAATGGGGTAAAAAAAAATTTTGTTGAAAATTATTATTTCGATCGGTGAAAATTGACTGAATAAAAAAACCAGACCGAGCATAAGTATTCCGTTTTCTTCAAAAGTCGGATCAAAAAATGCTTGAAATTTAAAATGCGTTTTTTCTCAAATGGGTTGGAAATTATACAAAAAGTATTGAGGACAAGCTTAAGTATTGATAACTTGCTTAGATAGCTAAAAATTATCAATTTTCGAATTATGATACAAAGTTTTAATTTCAAAAAATTATTTAACTGTTTTGTGGAACTTTTTGGACGTCATATCCTTCTTCAACTTTGCTGGGCTACTTAAGGGGCTCACTTTGATATGGTTATGTCAGCAATTGAACTTTTAGTTTCGGCGTAATTTTAAATGGACAAGAAGAAATCAAATTGTTAAATTTTTGGGGTAGGTTATTGGGCCCGAAATTGCAACATAAGCTACACCATAATAATTCTGCCAAAAATCAACACAACTATTGTCCACGTCAAATTTTGTCTAAAATCAACCCAATTTGAGAAAAACGCGTTTTAAATTTCTTGTTTTTTTTGGATAATTTAAATCAGCACAGTACTTTAAATAGCGTGGGGGCGGGGTGATTTAAAAAAAATTTAGTAAGTTTTTTGCATTTATCATTGAAAATATTTCATTTTATTATAAATCAATCACTACTCCGTAGAAGTTTGGGAGTAGTCGGCTCATCAAGGGTGTCACCCTGATATGAGAAATCTAATTCTGTTTTTTTTTAACCACAAGTCAGCAATTTTCTAAAAATCACTGATTTGCATTTCTAAGTTGGTTTGGAAAACCATTCACTCTCAAAAGAAAAAATTTAAAACAGCTGTTTTATAATAAAAAAACAGGTTCTACCGGCACTACTTTTGTCATAAGTTTTTAAAATATAAATCCAATAAATGATCAAATAATTTGTGATGTTGTGTTTGAAGTCCAATCGGTTCATGGCACATTATTTGAGGTTTTTCAAAAATACATCAGATTGTCAAAAAGGCGAACCGAACCGGAGTGACTTTGCATGAAAAAGATGAGAAGGGTGAGTGAATTCCTGATTCAGGTGTCCATCCGCGACGGCAGTCGCATCCGGGCGTGGCTTGAGAGTGACAAGGAAGACTTCAAGAGGAGAGCCAACCGGGACCCCCGGAGGAAAAAGAAGATGAAGAAGAAACTGCAGGAGGAACAGAAGAAGCTCAGCACTCTCAAACTGAACGGAGAGATCGACGAGATAGCCGCCCAGCAGCTCAAAGGTAGATCGAATTCATTGCCTCATCTTATAATGCCATGGATTTGGCCAAGATACTTAACCATTGCGTCCTTTCTATTACAGGTCTGTTCGTATGCTGTTCAGTCATTTTGTGAACGCATAATTAAATTTCTATTTGAAAAGTTCATTAAATATCAAGTTTGACCTTACAAAGTTTCTGCTTCTAAGAGGGTCTTTTTTGATGAAAACGGTTATAAAATAACCAAATGAACTTTAACAAAATTCATAACCTGAGACCAAGTGAGCTCATTGTAATTCAGCCATCATTGTTGTGTGGTGAATACTCAAACTTTGTCACTGTTTGCCTTTTTTGGGAGTAGAATTGAATTTGAAAAAAGTGTGACATTTCAGGCGTTGACTTTGCGAAGAAGTTGCCCCACATGGTGAACAAGAGTGGTATACTGACGGGGGAAATGACTGGTTATCATCTTTCCAACAGAAGCTTCCAAGACAGTCAGTAGTATTCAATACTTCTAATCCTTTTCCAAGGTATTCAATTTTTCACCACCAAGTTTTATTCATGTTCCGACTTTCGAAAAAGTTACCAAACCTTTGTGTTTTTTTATTCAATTAAATTCTGATTTTGTAACTAGGAGATTATTTTGACAAATGTTTAGTACAAAATGTGAAAGTTATTGACCTCTAAGCTCAAAATAAAAAAAAGATAATTATTGACGAGTATTTTTGTGAGGTTAGCAGATTTGAAAATTGGCAATTTGCGACAAGTAACGCTAAGTTTTGTACTACTAACTCGTAAGCAGCAAACTAATCCGGATCAGAAGCCGTTTCTAATTTGTTGAGACAAGCTTAATTGGTCTATTTGACATGCTACTGGATGCGAAGTATATCGCTTTATACTTTACATTATGCACATGAATACGTTGTTTCGATTATTCGAGTGTTTTTTTTTGTATTTTTTTTGTTAAATGTAAATAACGATACTATAAAGTTTTCGGTATGTTAAGTTTTGTCGACTTTGCTTTAAGTTCATGTTTTCAATTACTTGAAACATATTTTTCTTCAAAAATTTGCGCCAGGAAATCAAAGACGGCAATGTGAAGCTTCCAACTTATGTTTTTGTTGCTAACTATTATTTATTTAGGATAACTTTTATTTGCTGTTAAGGGTTCTCCCTGACTTTTTTTTATGGTAGAGTTTTGACTGAAGGAAACACAGCAGACATCTTATTGTTCCGACTTTCGATACGAAAGAAACGGAATATTTGTGCTCGGGGTGGGTTTTTTTCTTCAGACAAACTTCGACTTTTTAACTAGCCATTTTTGACGGAATTTCTTTATATCATTCAAAAAGTATTGTTGTCCTGAGCTTAAATTTGAAAAGATATTTCACCTGTGATCATTTTTCGTAAAGTTACGGCGGTTTAAAGGTTGCCATTTTTGCCAATTTGGGACAATTAACGTGCGATGTATTTCGCGCTATTAATGCGTAAGCGGAGATTTAATCCGTCTTAGAAATCGTTCCAAATTGGTTGAAAGAAGCTGATTTGCCATAATTGATTTGTTACAAGGAGCGAAATCTATCCTTTTGTACTTTATATGGCGTGGAGGGATGGTTTTCAAAAAAAAATTAATTTTAGAAAAAAAAATTTCATTTTATTTTATTAATTTTTTAATGTTATTTTTGCTCCAGAAACCTTAAAAAGCAGTCGGAACATTCAGAACTTCGCCCTGATACGAGCAGTATTGTTATTTTTTTAAACCTTTTTCACTTAATACTACATACTTACGAAAGTATCAGATAGCCACGAGTGATATAATATGTCAAGAATTTTGTAATTGTTATTTGATCAATCGCATAAAACTAAAAAAAAAACTTTTCGGTGCTAAGTCAAACTATTCGGAACTTTTTTCTCTTTAGAAAAATTTAGAGTGCAGAGTTTACATTGTTTTAACATTTTGTTCATTTCAGTTTTGGGTTAAAATGACAATAATAGCTATTTTTCTGAGTCTGTGCAAAAAATGATCTGAAGTTTTTATTAATACACACTCTAAATTTTCTGCTTGAACTCTGCAAAAATGTGGTTTTTTAATTGTGCCAATCAATCTGAAGGCAGTTATTCAGGTACTTTTCGAAGGAAAATCTTAGGAGTTGTTAACGCTTAAAGTTTTGTTTTATCAATCCATCTGCTTTATCAATCCATTTGGTCCAATATGTGTCGAGTTTATCGAAAAAGAGTCAATCTTTTACTTATTTTTGAAAATCGAAGTCTAATGAATTTGTAAAATCTTGTAAATTGTTTTATTTAACTTCAAACATTTTTTTCGCTTGATTAGAATTCATTGAAAATTTTTCCAATGTCAGTTCTTCACTTTTTGCAAAAATAGCTGCGGTCGGATTCTTCTCTGTTACTTGCACAGTAACTTGTAATTGCGGTTTCATCAGATAGAACGTAAAGCAGACTTACATAACATTTTTCTTTCATTAGAAAAAAATATTTGATAGTAGAGACAGTTTTGCTTCCATTTTTTGAAGAATATGCGGAATCTTTGTGCTCGGGGAAAATTTCGACTTTTTAGCTAGCTTTTTTTTTGACAATTTCTTTTAAAAATCAGTCAAAAAAGAATGCTGTTGTGAGGTAAATTTTGAAACGATGGTCCACTTTTGATCTCTTTTTGGAAAGTTATGGGGGTTTAAGGATTAAAACTTTCGCCATTTGGGATAATCAACGAGCACTACAACATAGATCTTAAAATGCAGTTAAAATGTTCAGGATTTTGCCCTGATACGAACAGTCGTGTTTCTTTTATGTTAAAATGGATCCATTAATTGTCAAATGTTTTTACTAGGTAACACATGAAGACATTAGCAGGAGTTCCCTCGCTTCAGATGTAAATTTGGGACGTTTTTTCGACATTTTTCAAAAAAAAGTAGTCAAGAGGGATTGTTTGTATTATATTCTTATTATAACTATTGTTATTGAAATTTTGGTTAGATTAATTAATTTGTTATATCAGTTTTTTTTAGATTTTTGGACATAGCAAGTGAAGCAGGTGCGGAATCTAGGATTTTCTACCAAAAAATATCGAAATTTTTGACGATCTTTTTTTTAAGTCGACCAATTTGATTTTCTGATCTCTCCCAAATTACTATAAAAACTCCATTTAGACCAAGTTTTCTGCGCCGCTAGCAAATTGTTGAAAAAACAGGCCAAATAACGTTTTTTTATGCACTTTTTGGAACATTTGGCACTCAAACAAATAGAGCTTGTTGGATAAACTTGTTCTTCTAAACCGAACGAAAGCCTCAAAATAAGTACATTTAGCGCCAAAGGCGCCCTTAGAAAAATTCTAGGGTCAGTCAGCCAAAAGTGGGTATCTCAAAAAAGTACAAAGGGGGACCCTTTGGGTCGGCAGGGGTTCGAATCGCTGAAAAGGGAAGTGTCCGCCCCCCACCCCCAAATCCGTTGGTGAAGTGAAGTACGAGGTACAACTCATTTTCCATTTTCAGCCAAACGGTAATTGTGGAAAGGGGTTTATTGTTCCGACTTTCGATACGAAAGTAACGGAATATTTGTGACAATAATAGCTATTTTTCTGAGTCTGTGCAAAAAATGATCTGTAGTTTTTATTAATACACACTCTAAATTTTCTGCTTGAACTCTGCAAAAATGTGGTTTTTTAATTGTGCCAATCAATCTGAAGGCAGTTATTCAGGTTCTTTTCGAAGGAAAATCTTAGGAGTTGTTAACGCTTAAAGTTTTGTTTTATCAATCCATCTGCTTTATCAATCCATTTGGTCCAATATGTGTCGAGTTTATTGAAAAAGAGTCAATCTTTTACTTATTTTTGAAAATCGAAGTCTAATGAATTTGTAAAATCTTGTAAATTGTTTTATTTAACTTCAAACATTTTTTTCGCTTGATTAGAATTCATTGAAAATTTTTCCAATGTCAGTTCTTCACTTTTTGCAAAAATAGCTGCGGTCGGATTCTTCTCTGTTACTTGCACAGTAACTTGTAATTGCGGTTTCATCAGATAGAACGTAAAGCAGACTTACATAACATTTTTCTTTCATTAGAAAAAAATATTTGATAGTAGAGACAGTTTTGCTTCCATTTTTTGAAGAATATGCGGAATCTTTGTGCTCGGGGAAAATTTCGACTTTTTAGCTAGCTTTTTTTTTGACAATTTCTTTTAAAAATCAGTCAAAAAAGAATGCTGTTGTGAGGTAAATTTTGAAACGATTTTCCACTTTTGATCTTTTTTTGGAAAGTTATGGGGGTTTAAGGATTAAAACTTTCGCCATTTGGGATAATCAACGAGCACTACAACATAGATCTTAAAATGCAGTTAAAATGTTCAGGATTTTGCCCTGATACGAACAGTCGTGTTTCTTTTATGTTAAAATGGATCCATTAATTGTCAAATGTTTTTACTAGGTAACACATGAAGACATTAGCAGGAGTTCCCTCGCTTCAGATGTAAATTTGGGACGTTTTTTCGACATTTTTCAAAAAAAAGTAGTCAAGAGGGATTGTTTGTATTGTATTCTTATTATAACTATTGTTATTGAAATTTTGGTTAGATTAATTAATTTGTTATATAAGTTTTTTTTAGATTTTTGGAAATAGCAAGTGAAGCAGGTGCGGAATCTAGGATTTTCTACCAAAAAATATCGAAATTTTTGACGATCTTTTTTTTAAGTCGACCAATTTGATTTTCTGAGCTCTCCCAAATTACTATAAAAACTCCATTTAGACCAAGTTTTCTGCGCCGCTAGCAAATTGTTGAAAAAACAGGCCAAATAACGTTTTTTTATGCACTTTTTGGAACATTTGGCACTCAAACAAATAGAGCTTGTTGGATAAACTTGTTCTTCTAAACCAAACGAAAGCTTCAAAATAAGTACATTTAGCGCCAAAGGCGCCCTTAGAAAAATTCTAGGGTCAGTCAGCCAAAAGTGGGTATCTCAAAAAAGTACAAAGGGGGACCCTTTGGGTCGGCAGGGGTTCGAATCGCTGAAAAGGGAAGTGTCCGCCCCCCACCCCCAAATCCGTTGGTGAAGTGAAGTACGAGGTACAACTCATTTTCCATTTTCAGCCAAACGGTAATTGTGGAAAGGGGTTTATTGTTCCGACTTTCGATACGAAAGTAACGGAATATTTGTGCTCGGGGTGGGTTTTTTTTTCTTCAGACAAATTTCGACTTTTTAAATAGCCATTTTTTTATATCGGAATTTTTTTATATCATTCGAAAACCATTGTTGTCCTGACCTTAAATTTGAAAAGATATTTCACCTGTGATTGTTTTTCGTAAAGTTATGAGGGTTTAAAGATTGCCATTTTGGCCATTTTGACCAATTTGGGACAATTAACGCGCGATATAATTCGCGCTATTAACTCGTAAGCGGAGATTTAATCCGTCTTATAAATCGTTCCAAATTGGTTGAACGAAGCTTATTTGCCATAATTGATTTATTACAAGGAACGAAATCAATATTTTTGTACTTTATATGGCGTGTGGGGGGATGATTTTCATAAAAATTTCAAATCTTAGAAAAAAATTTTTCATTTTATTTTATTTCATTTATTTTTATGTTATTACTGCTGCTCCATAAACCTTAAAAGGCAGTCGGAACATTCAGGGCTTCGCCCTGATACGAGCAGTCTTGTTGCTTTTTTGCACACACTTGAAATTTTCAATTAATGTTTTCAGATAAAATTTAGAATTGCTTTTCCATTTGTTTTTCGTATTTTGTATTTTTTGTACTTGTTTCGATATTTTTCCTAAAAGAGTGTTTTTAAATTTAATGTTTTTCTTAATTTTGTTTATTTTTCTTAATTTATGATTTTTGTATTAACTGTATTTCTTTCTCAATTGATGATGTGGTGAGTTTAGGGACTGTACAATTCAGAGCGGGCCAACTAATGGTCTACGGTAAGATTCAATGTTGTCCTCATATTATTTCATGTCATGTCATTCACGTCACTGTTTAGCGTACGCAAATTCCAACCTAGCTCAAGCATCCATGCTGAATTCCATGATTAGATAAATGTTTGTGCGTAAAATTATAGAGAATAGTGGCGGATCTAAAACAGGGGGAAATTTAAACAGGGTTGGATTTAGGGTTTTTCGAGAGGAATTTTGCTAGGCATTAGTTCGACAAACTACTCTTCACTGAAGCGACAAAATCAGACAAAAATTACTGCGCCCCAAGTAAATGTTTGCTAAATTGAATAAAAATCAGTTTTGATAGTTTTTTGGAAGGTTTTGGCAAAAAATACGTTTTTTTGGCTCTCTCTTTTTCTCTTAGTATTTGCATTGTTAAACAAAATTAGCGTCTGTGACCAAAATGTTTGTCATAAAATAACATTAAAGGGGGGGGGGGCTTTGGGAGGTATTGAGTTCTCGACGGAAGGGGAGTGTCTCGCCGTCCTAGTAGTTCACAAACCTTTTCACGTAAAGACCCATTGAAGGTCCAAAAATATCTACAGAGAAAATATAACGCAAGATTTTCATAAAGTCTGTTGATCAAATTGTACATAAAGTATATTTCAGATGTCATTTGAATTTTTGCGCTGTTACCACGATAGAGCGTTAAGCCGGTTTTCAATGGGCAGTAGGAAATAAGTTTAGTGCAAAAAAAGCTTCCAACGCTCTGTCGTGGAATAAACTAGCCTGTCAAAAAAAGATAATCTACGTAACTTTAAATTTATGAAACCAGATTCATTTCCTTATGTGCAACCTCCTTAGTTTTGTTCCTCCTTTAGAATGAAAAAAGAACCTCTTTTGCATCATAAGCTATGACCGTCGTTTCATCAAATCATTTGTGTTACAATTATCAACACAATTTTGGGAAAGTTCAGCAAAAAATTACTGCAATAGTAAATATCTGTAATAACTAATACATACATATTTTTGCTCAGAGATATTTCGACCCGTATAAGTTGAAACACAATTCAGATTCAGACATAGTCTGTCTTGGCACCAAAACCATGGTGTTTGTCGAGGTGTTGAGATTTTGTGGAAGCGTTTGGGCTGAACATGCAATTTGGATCCAATTTGTGTTCAGGCCGTCACTCGCGCTACCTCATGCGACGGCACTCCTCTTTCTTCGGGAACAAGGCGGCGGCGGCAGCCGGGGGAGGAGCTTCAGGAGGCGGCGGAGGGGGGACTCCGCATCTGATGGGGAGGGAGAGGGAGCGACAGAACTCGATCACGTCTCAGAGGTCTCTCTTCACAAACCCCCCCAGTGACGCCATCGCACGTCTGCCTTCCATCTCAAGGTTCCAGTCTATTTTCCCCTTCTTTCTTTCACCTCTTTCCACTTTCCCAGATTTGAGTTTCAGATTTGGAAAACTACTTTACGTTGTCATCATGTAATGAAAATTTGCATGGTAAACAAACAAACTACAGTGAACACATTTTTTCTTCATATCTTTCATCCTGAAAGCTTGACTTCAGTTATGATAAGACAACTGAACAAATTGAAAGTTTGAAATGCGGGGAAGGAAGTGGGGTGGAGGTGGAAAAGAGCTTTTTAAAAAACTTGCAATATACACTAGTGGACAAAATTAAGTCTAAAATACTTTCTAAAATACATATTTTTATGGACTATTTTGGACAGTTTGTACTTCAAAATTGATCACAAGTTTAAACCAACGAAGAGCAAATTCTCTCGGCTATAAAAAAATCAAAATTTGTTATCAAGGATTTACTAGGTTATTCAGGTGTAAAAGTACCAGTTTCGCCAACTGCATTTACTTTTCCCAAACGCGTGAGTTCGTTAGTTGTGTGATGAGTTTTATACACTCGAATGTTTCTGTCAAAATCATGCCGTTGGGAAAAGTAACTGCAGATGGCTAAAAATTGGCTTTTTACAACGGAATAAGCAAGTGAATCGTTAAAAGCAAAAACTGATGCTTTCAAAGATGGTAGCAAAAAATGGTTGCTTTCGTTCAGTTTAGAAGAACAAGTTTATCCAACAAGCTCTAATTGTTTGAGAGTAAAAGCTAAGTTTGCGTACAATTTGGTCTGTTAGTCTGCATCGGGTATTATCAATCAGAGTTGTTTTCCCTAATCTGCCTGTTTAAAAGGATCTCTAAAAGTGCAATATTTTTATTATAAGCATACAAACAAGAATTTAACTCTCTCTTTGTGGTCAAATGATCAAAGCTAACTCTAGTAAAATATCCACTCTTCTCAAGCACTTACCAGTTTATTCTGGATCTAAAAATGTAAGTTTTACCTACTGTAGTAAATGTTCATAACGGTGTTTTCTTTCAAAAACAACTGATATAAAAATGTATTCAGTCGATGAGAATGCGGTTCGTTTGTTTATTATTTATGTAGTAATGTTTTTGACGGTGTGAAATTTTAAGAAACAACCGTTTTTAGCAAAGTTTTGTTCTGAACAGATAATTTTTTTGCTGGGAGTATTTTTCATCCAATTAATAGTTTTATCCACCGCTTCCACCGCTTCTTATTTGTGAAAGAGTTCACTCCGATGCAAAACTTAGTGCAGTTGATGAAAACTGGCTTTTTCAGACCCGCAACAGGTAAGTAATTAAAACCAAACTTTGTTAATTTCTTGCAGAGTAGCTCTGTTCATTTGCTCTTGGTCTATGAAAAATTTTGGTTGACATCCTTGTGAATGCTGTTTTAAATGTTTTCGAATTTGATTTGGGTCTGCAAATGCAAGTTTTTCTCATCTGCACTAAGTTTTGCATCCCAGTGGATTCTTTCTTAAATAAGAGGAGAAAAAATATACAAGAGGAAATCTGGCATGTTCAGACCCGAATTACGCTAGCAAATCATTGAAACAAATTTTGATAGTTTGAAAGAGGATAGCTCTGATCATTTTCTCTTGATCAATGTAAAAATTTTTCTGAATTTCGAGGGAAACTGAACCCTCAAAACAGGCAATTTAGTGTCAAAGTTCCTGTTTTTGTGCTTAATTTTGTCCACTAAGGTATCACTTATTTTTGAAAGAAAACATTGTTGTTAAAAGATACTGCAGTAGCTAAAAGATTTAGTTTTTAGATTCAAATTAAACTGGTAAGTCGATTTATAAATAAATTTAGCTCTGATCTTGGTCAGAATGAATTTTTTGTTTGTATGCTTATAATAAAATATTGTTAACTTTTTTTACTAAAATATATAATAAGCTAAATATAGTAAGCTAAAATATAGTAAGCTAAAATATATAATAAGAAAAAACTTCAGGCGACGCTATCATAACTAAAGCTTCGGAACATTTGATTCGATACGAATGCTTCCATTCTGTCAAATTAGTTCAATTTAAAAAATCTTTTGATTGTCTGAGATCAATTGTTCTAAATCTTTTCAGCCTTCCAGTTCACGATGCAGGGTTTCATCCTCAGCGGACCAGCAGTTTCATTACAGTACAGCACCAGCCGATCAATTGGTCGAGTCACAACAACCCTCACGCGGGGTCGGGGTCCCTGTTCAGCGGGGGCAGCGGGGGAGGGGGAGGGGGAGGCGGCGGATGCATGAACGACGTCAGCTTCAGCGATACGATGAGTTTCGGACCCGGAGGCATCGAACGAATGGTGTCTGGCGGAGTTATCGAAAGCTCGTTGCTCGAAGTGGACGAAGACGAAGTCTCCTCTCCTGGCGCCTCACTGCTTGTGTCATCCTCACATAATCATGATGAAATAGACGGCGAGACACACAGTACGTCATCAAACTTTTTCACATTCCAGCACAATTTGGGAGCACAGAGTAACAAACGGCGAGGGTCTGCGTGTATAAAAGACATGAATACTGAGTTGCGTAACCTTCTCGAAAGTTCTGCCGAGTCTAGACCAAGCGGGGTCGACTCGGGCGAAGAAGACGAAGATGACGACAATGAAGACGCTGAAGACGCTGAAGAAGATGATAACGACGAGGAGGATTTCGCCACCGGCGAGTCGGATGAATCAGTGTTGTCGGCCGGAAAAAATGGAGCTGTTCCGCCTGTAGATTTACTCAAGTCCTCGGCTAAAGGTACAATTTTTGAGTTTAAAAACTCTTTTTGAGCAGGTTTCTGCAAAAAAAAAATGTTTTTTTTTTGAATTTGTTCGAACAAGGTTATGCCCCAAAAACAGAAGGTTGATGCCTTTTTTAAAACATTTTTTCTACCGTAAATGATTATTATCTCAAATTTGTTAAGAATGGTCTGAGTTTTATTCAGATTGTCAATAAATTTTCAAAAACTATGAAATGCATAATCTTTTAAGCGGTTAATTTTTTATGCCTTTTAAGTATTCTTCATTTTTTTTTGAAATTCAGTCCTTTTTTAGAAAAAATCTTTCAAGCTCTATATTTTTTATAATCAAAATATTTTACATCTGTTTTCGTATCAATAAATTTTGTTTTCAGTGCCCTATTTTTCCAAGTAGCCAACAGAGATACTTTTGAATTGGTTGCATTGGTAGAGCTCTTGATGTTGATCAAAGCTGTGGATCAAAACTGTGTGTTTTTCAAATTGATCTGGAACGATGTTGAAACTGGAATTGTTCACCAGTTGGTTGTGTTTCAGCTTCCGTTACTCTTGCTGTTCCATTTGCCTCGCACATGAGTCCTTCGAAGAGCAGTTCGGCCATCGGCCCAACTCACAAAGAAGCCTCTAACTCGTCGCCCTCTTCCATGTCCGACCACAAACTGTTCAAAAAGGCCAGAAACAACTCATTCACCCAGCTCCTTAGTAACCTCAGTGGGGGAGGGGGGAACATACTGGGTGGAGGAGGCTCCTATCTTGGCGTTGGGACCGGTGGGGGCTTCAAGCACGATCTCCGAAAGACATTTTCCCTGTCGTCAAAGGCTATTGACAAAATGAAGAACTCGGCCGCTGGCAACATGACCGGAGTTATTGACATAGAAATGGACAGTCAGAACAGGCTATCAGCACCTAAACATGTGAGAAACAGTTTTATTAGGAACTAGAAATATTCAAATATAGTTTTGACCCTTCCGCCCTCTCAACTTTTCTTACATTCTACCAAAAGTATCGCCAAATATCTTCTACAACATACGTTAGCTCTTAGTGCAATGCATGCGGAGAAAACTATGACTCTCCAAAAATGTCTCCAGAAGTTCTTCAGAAATTCAAAAATTAAAATGGCAGGCCAATTTCTGAAAAGAAGTGAAATTCGCTAAAATTTGATCTTCAGAATAGGCCAGAAGAAATCAGCATTACTGCTGGTTTTTTAAAAAATATATTTAATTTTTGAAAAAATATTTAAGAACAATCATTACCGCCTCTGGTACAAACTTTATGATTTTATTAGAGTTAAAAATAGTTTACAAAATGGTCCTTAATTAAAAATATTGTTGTATTTAGATCCATGCCGAGAGAAAGTATTCGGATAGTTGTATCATACCCAGCAAACATCAGAGCTCCTCTTCCTCGTCTTCCAAATTCCAAGTCGAAATTCTTCCGCCGGATTTAACAGGAGTGAGACCACCTACTTCCAGGAACACCGTTCTCAACACCCTCACGATAAATGTAGATTCCATACCCCCCACCCAGAAGTCACCGAAAGAGGCCAAAGCCAAGGCAGAAGCGTCCTCAGCAGGAGAAGCTACACGTGATAACGATGAAGTCACATTTACGATGTCGGACGATGAAACCTCACCGACTCATGAAGAAATAATGCGAACTCTTTCGAATACGACCACAGACTACTCGGATGAAAACGGAGACACTATTACTAGTTTGAAGATGATAATTGCCAAGAAAAAATAGTTTACATTTGTAAATAGGGTATTTTACAATAATCATTATTTTGTGTAGCTTTGTTTTGCAGTGAGTCATTTGATGATTATGATGGGTGGCACAGAAAATTTTTGAAAACAACGAGAGACTTTTTTGCCATTGTGCGTTTGTATTTAACCTACAACAGTTTTCTATAAATAGGATTTTTTCTAAAAAGACCATAAACTTTTTCATGGACAGTATTGGATTCTCAACAGTTCGTTGAAATGGTGATCAGATTATTTAAAGCTTCAAATTGGGTTATAACACAATCGATGAGCCCGGAAAAAAACTTGATACTTTAAATAATTGAGGAAAATAATAAATATAACCAAAAATTGCAGGGATAAAAGTTACATCTTTCTCGAACAAAGTTGAGGCTCACGCGGAGCTTACAGAAATTGAAAACTCGAGATGTGTCTGGAAGTGGAGGCTTGTCGATTTTGTTTTCATCGGTAGCATAAAGAATTTCACAAGCAAACTAAAACCAGAAAATCATCTCTCAAGAACAATTAATCGCATTTCTTAAACGTCAATCAACAAAGATAGCAGATGAGTTTTCTGGTTTTTCATTTAAAAATTACGATGACACTGGGTAGGAAATGAACACTTCAGCCCAAATAAACCATTAGGGCAAAACAATCAACGTGCTCCTGTTGGTCGACGTTGTCACTGGATGTATGTATTCGGCTAACTTGTTATTATAATTATGTTTAAAAAAATGAATCAATTGCGTCTCTCACTCCTCTGGAAATTTTGATTATCGCTGACTGTAACAAAAGGTACGCAATTAGTAACAAATAGATTTGAACTGAAATGTTTTGCGAATTGTGTTGAATAAGCAATCGAATCAGTAGAACAAAAAGGTAGTGGTATGTTTAAAAAAATCGGGTAAAATTTTGGCTGAAAAAGTTTTTACAAAAAATAAATTTGTTTTTGCAGGCGCCGTGTCTGTCTTCATGTCTCACGAGACACATTGGTGATAGTAGTCACTGTTGCTCCCTCTCGTGCCTTCCGCGGCACACTTGAATATAGTTGAATCAGTCTCCGCTGGTTCTTCACTTCGTGTCTCTCGGAACACATTGGTACAAATAGTCACTAGTGATCCTTCTCGTTCTAGTGATCCTTCTGGTTGAACCAGTCCACGCTGGTTTTTCTCTTTCTGTCTATCGAGACTTAATTGCTCCAGCACTCACTTGTGGTTTACCCCGTATCCTCCGCGTACTGCTTCCTTTGAACCAGTCTCCAAAGGTTTTCTTCTTCGGGTCTCCTGAGACATTTTGGTACAAGTAGTCACTAGTGCTTTGCCCCTTCCCCGCCTCGATACACTTGCGTCTCTTCGAACCGATTTGAGGCAGTCTTCGCTGCTTTTTCTCATTCTGTCATTCGAGGCACATTGGCGATAAACGTTTCTAGTGAGTCAGCACTATTTTTTATAATCGTGTCTTCACTGCACTCATAAACTCCTCGAGAAAAATTTCTATTATCTGAGAGTTTTTTCAAATGGCACTTTGAAAAAACTCAATAACCGACGTAGTTGCAAATACCGTCCCAATGACGATCTTGAACAGCAACTGACAGTTGAAATCTCTATTTCAGCAGTTGTTGAAGATGTTCCGTTCAACATCGTTTCATGTATCAATGAAGTTGAGTAGATATCAGATGAACTCGCAGCGTTTTCTGCGGTGGAAGCAATCGGTTGGCTTGAAAAACCTCTTTTTTGTGCAGTTGAAAAAGCAAGGTCTCAAAAAAAATGTTTTTTTTTTATCTCTTCTGTTTGTTGATTCTTCCGGATCACTCCTTCTTCTCAAGCTCTCAAGATCATCCAGGAACCGATCAATTGACTCGTCGTCCCTCTGCCTTCTTTCTTCAAATCTCATCATAGCTTGGTGGCCCCTCATTCCTGATCCGAATCGGTTCAACAGTATTTCGAAGATCTTGTCTGCCGTACCACGTTCCTCTTCCTTCTTTGCTACTACGCATTTCAACGCTGTGCCCTCTAGATTGCTCAGTATTGCTGTGCAGGCCTGCCTTTCGTCATTCAAGTTATCCTGTTCCAAGTTTAGTCTCATGACCTCTATCCGTGTGTCGATGCAGCCATCCGAGTCATCTTCAAACTCTTTGGGTTTCTTGAAAGTCTTCCTGGATTTACCACTTCCTCTTTCACTCTAGTCAGTGTTCCTTGTCGCGAACGCTTCCAATGTGCTGTTCACCATTTCTCAGATGTCATGGCGTCAGGTGCTACATTAGTGTTCGTGTTGGAGTCCCCTGGTGCATTTGCCGAGTTTGAGGTTCCACCCTTCATGATGGTCTTGGACCCCCCTGCCCCTGTGCTCGCTGCACTCTGGGGTAACGGCGTGGACTCACGTTTATTCCGTTCGGGTTCTATAAAGTCGACTCTGGTGCCTTGTGGTTTGTCTGCTATCAGTTTGTCTTGCGCTATAGAGTTTCTCAAGAGAGCATCCAGTTTGCACTGCATGGCCCAAGAGTTTTCAGACTGGTCTTTGCTCATTGTGTCCATTCTCGTCTCTAGATTCCACAACTTTTCGTTCAGAGTGTCGTACTGTTGCTTCATTTCCTGCAGATCCATTTTGATATGTTTCTCTCGCTCTTTGTCGGTAGCCTCTACCTTGTCTGTCATCTGCTGTAGCTTTTCTTCCGTCGCCCTTGCCAGGTTGACGCAGTTATCTAGGTTCTCATTCGTGTTGCAACGTATTTCCCATTTTAGCTCTTTTCAATCTTCTTGCTGCTTTTCAATTGCTTTTCGTTTTGCTCCAACTTTGCCATCAAGTCGCCCAGCTCAAGCGAAATTGTTTTTTCATGGTAAGCCGTCGCTCCACGTTTGACCTGCTCCTCGTCTTGTTTGGCCTATGTTGTTATTGCGGAAACTGTTCCAAGTGTTTTGCTTTTCTCAGTCGTTGGTACCACCTCCTCTTTCTCTCTTGGTTTCATTCCGACCGTCGCTGCAATCCTCTCTGTGAACGACGTTCTTTTTGTTTGAGAATCATCTTTTATCGTTTCCGGCGTGTTGCTTGTTGTGTCTTCTACAAAATCAATTGGTGAGAACTCTATCGTCTTCTTTTCTTGTTCTTCTGCATTCGGCTTTGGTGTTGATTCCGTTGTTTTCCTTTCCACCTCGTCAACGCTCTGATCTGGTGTCTCAAGATCAACTTCTCCAGCAGGTACACTTGGTCCCTCCACAGCGCTTTCTTTCGTCTTGTGTTCCTTTACGCTTCTTGTATTGACCATGTTCACTGAAATGTTTTTCTCATTACTTTCGGATTCGATAGTGTTGCTTTCCGTTTCGACGAGTTTTGATTTTGCCTTTGTTCTTGTACTCTCTTTTCTGCTATCGGTACCCTACTTCTCTTCAGGTTTTTTGTTTACAATTTTCTTTATTCACAAATTTAATATTTACAAGTTAATATTTACAAAAATATATTCCTAATTCTTGTAAGAAAAAACCATTCGAATTCGTAATCTCAATAGTGTGGACTTTTAGTTGTTTTTTGGTCGTTCTGATTGTGTCCTGGTGCTTTTAGTCAAGTGTTGGGACACTTCACACTATCCCAAGATCTCCTGTTCAAGTGTTCGGAAACTTCGCACAGCCCCAAGACCTCCCTATTCAAGTGTTGGGACACTTCGCACTGCCCCCAAGACTACCTGCTCAAGTGTTGGGACACTTCACACTGTACCAAGACCTTTTCGTGTTAGTGTTGGGACACTTCGTGCTGTCCCAAGACTACCTGCTCAAGTGTTGGGACACTTCACACTGTCCCAAGACCCCCCACTCAAATGTTGGGACACTTCGCAGCGTCCCAAAAACCTTCATTTAAGTGTTGGGACACTTCGTGCTGTCGCAAGACTACCTGCTCAACTGTTGGGACACTTCGCCCTGTCCCAAGACCCTTCGTCCAAGTGTTGGGACACTTCGTGCTGTCCCAAGACTACCTGCTCAAGTGTTGGAACAGTCAAAAATCTTCTTCTTTGTGAAAGTTGGATCTCTTGTTCTTCGGTGTTGGGACATTTAGATCACTATCCCCGGTACCACGACTTGAGCTCTAGTATTAAAAAGTTTCCCCAAAACCCAATCTTACTAACCAAAAGTTTTACCTACTAGCCCCCCTGTAATTATCTCCCTTTATTAATCCGATGCAAGTCGAAACACGACTTGTTAGCAAGTGTCTTATGATCACCTATTCATCAAAAGCCGATAACATTAGTTCCGAAAACGTAAAAAATTTAAGCAAGAAAAATGATAAAAAAACAGAAAGATGAGTACACCCAAAATTCAAAAGCGACCAACTTCTTTTCAAAAAAAATGTGTTGTACCTGACTGTCATGCGTTTTCCTCCCCCTACTAACGATCTTATGGGGTATTCTCCTTTCGCGTTCCAAAAACGGACTATTTCCGATCCCCCCACCCGATCCGACCAGGTAACCTATCTTAATTCGATTTTAAATTTGGAGATCCTTGTTCCGGGTCTAAAGATGAATCGTTCCAGACTCTGGGTCTACTAGTGTAACGAAATCGACGATATCGATTGTATAGTTACTATAATTTGTCCCCCTTTATACAATTTCCAACCGCCAACCTCTATCTTAACCAGCCCTCCTTCTAACCTCCCCCCTATTTAGCTCTCTTCTTAATACGAAAATTTCACTAAGCGCGATGGGTGCTAAAACTTTTGAGAGAAAACCGTAGAACCTGTTTCCAAGCTCTGCTCAGGTAAAAACGTATCCTCAAAACAGCGGGTATCCGCTTATCAAATTTTACACTTATTTCCTATAACGTAATGTGGACTTTAACGATACCCGATTGACCAAACAGAACACCTCTGTGTGCCCTTCTCTGTTTGTTCTGATTCCGGGCTGGATGTCTCCTTGGCGTGTCCAGCACCTCTCAGGTCCCCTTCCTGAGAACCACTTTCACACTTGGCTGGTTACCTGTTCCAGTCAAGTCTCCCAGTAGTCCGCTGAAGTTGCAAGCTATCTGAAAACCCGTTACAACGCCCCACACTCGGGCACCTGTATAAAG